ATACTGTGAATACACATCCCACTGTTTGGCTCTAATTGGTCAGACCACAAACTTTTTTCAAAAAGTGAATTTAGATTGATCAAAAACCAAAGTAATACTGATCACTTGGCTGGTTAGAAAAAACAGAGCATGTAGAGGAATTTTAACGTGAAGCACTATGACACACTATAGCTCTTTGTTTGGGGTAAGATTGTGGGTGCCTGCACATGCTGTCTTCAATTTGAATGAGAATGTGAACTCTTGAACTGTAACTGCTCCACTTTATTTTTCACTGCTTTTTATGAAGGCATTACACACACAAACACATACTGAACACAGCAGCAGACAGTGTGTTGAACTTGAGATGAGTTGTGGAAAGTAAAACAGGAGTTTGAGGTCAGCCCCAGTGAGGTCATCATGAAAGAATTTCCACTCTTTGCTGAGGTCTTTCTTTCATTTCTCTCTCTTACATACACTCTTATCTCGTTATTTGTCACTTCATCTGCTAAAGCACAATATTTTTGTCCTGCTTCACCAATTTAACTATAGTATCAAAATCATGTTTGCAAGAAATTGGTAGGAAATTAAACATCTAATGCATGAGACTGTCTTCTTTGTTTAGACTTGGACACTATACTGAGATAAGGAAACTAAAACAGTGGCTCATAATTTGAGTAATTCTCCTACTGTTAGGTATTTTACATTATTTCAACATAATAACTGCATGCCCTGAATTAAACTCTTTTCCTGTGAGATCACACTAACTCGTTAACAAACTGATACGGTGCTCATATTCATTAAAGGAACACTTAGTAAAGACATCCAATCCAATTTCAATGGGAAAAAAATCATGCAGGATACCTATGCTCATATGGCCTTAGAAATTAAAGGGATCCCACATTGTTTGATGGAAATGAAACTTAGAAGTCACCCCAAAAAAATCAAAGTGAAAAAATGATGCCATTTTGCAACTCAAAATGGAATTCAGTTCAATTCAATTTATAATAATAATAATAAAGACCCTACAATAATACTCAATAATACTCAATAGTTCATATTGCCCTGTGATGGACCGAGTTGAAAAACAGGAGGAGCCCAGGAATTATTAGAAAAATATAGTTTCCATTTATTTAACCCCCAAAAATTAGATTTACAAAACTAATAAATGTTGAGCTCGTAAAAGAGGTCAAAGAAACAAAACTGAACTCAGGCACAGACTGCAACCTTAACAAACCAAATGACTGCCCAAACATACATAATTGACCTAAACATGAAATGACATACAAGGGTATATATAATGGCTGATCAGACCATTGTGACACATGAGGGGTAACAAACAAACACAATCATAAATCACAAACGATGCAGTACAATCTGGTTTGTTAATAAACTAAACACCAAAAAAGAAAATCAAAAACCCCATTAAACCCTAAACTCAAATATTTAATTAAATACAAATACTTTGTTTTTAAAGTAAAGAAAACACACATTCCCCCCTTCAGCAGGAAGTGGTGGTGTGGTCCAATTATCTTCCTTTGTATTTAATGGTTTCAAACCCTGGCTACCATCTTTTGTCCAGCAACTCCCAGTGATGATGGCAGGTAAGAAATAAAAAGACAAAGGTTAGTCAGAAAGCAAAGAAATGAAGTAGTATGAATACATAAGTAAACTAAATGTGCGCGCTTACAAATAGAACAAATGTAACCAAACCAATCAATAAAGTTATTGGCAACTAAAATGTATTACTATGTTCAAAATGAAGAATGAAAATACAAAAGTTACCGACTTTAGAGTGTGGCCACGGGTTTGGCCATCACATGCCCCAACGTGCTTGCATGCCTGACAAGGTTGGGACATCTTCCTAATGAGATGATCGATGATGGACCATTGACCATCCTTGACAATCTCAGGTGCAAGCTGGTGGCATCGGATAGACTAAAACATAATGTCCCAAATGTCTTCAATTCAAGTTAGGTCAGGCAACCATGGGGACAAGTCCTGGGAAGGAGGAACCTAGGACCCACTGCACCAGTGTACGGTTAAACAATGGGTTGACAATGTGTGACACCTCTTTCTCACAGATGTTTTCAAGTTTTAGTCATTTTCAGCAATAGGTGCATCTGACCTTGTATTACTTTTTACTTGTACCTGATAATGCACCCTGGATGCATGTATGGAGCACAGGCCATTTATTCTCTTGGCCTCTGCTTCTCTGGTATATCTCCTCAGCCTATGGCAAGGGCTGTGAGACTTTGTTTGGCAGTTTCTAGTACCTCAGTCATGGACATTTTACTTCTTATTCATCCATGACCCTCTACAGCTCAGTTAGCTTACTAATATGCAACCAAATTTCCCCTTGTGGGACAATTAAAGGATTATTCTTCTATTCTCATATCCTTCTGAGTTTCTCTGATTCTGGCTCCCAGCCTTGTTATCCATGCGGGCTTTCTCTACACGCATCCTTGGTTTTATACCAAGTTCTTCTTGGTTTGCTGTGGCAGAGTCATATCTGAGCTCAATGGTTTCAGTGAGACTGGTGGTGGGGATGGTGCATAAAGCAATTTTCAGATCTGCAAGTATCTTGTCTGATGGGACTTTTTCAGCTGGGGAAGTTGAAGTGCTGTAAAAAGGATCTGTGAGTGGCTTCTGTCTAATCTTTATTTGTCATGAAGCGATGACTGAGTTTCCCAGTTAGCCTCTAGGAGAAGAATCTTTAGAACAGGAGTGATGAGAAGGTGATGAGGAGTCTGTTTACATGTTTAGATATCCCAGAGGGTCACCTTTAGATAGAGCTATCCACCCACAAAGGTCTGTAATATTCCTCATTGTGTGGAGGAAGGTGGATTCAACCACTGGCAATGCGGCCCTGTGATTGAAGGAAAGCCTGCGACTGAAATGCATAAAGCTCTCTCCATGATGTTTTGTGCAAAGCATTTTTAATAGACATATACATTTATGTTATTTATATCATCCTACTCTTTATGTTATGGTCTGCAATAAAACTTTCAAGCCAAAAGAAAAAACTGACTTTCAGTTATTTTTTTAAAGACAGAAGACTTTCAATTTCAAACTAAAAACATTATAATGATGACTGTTCCATGGTTTAAATCACATCTTTCTTTTTGCACTCTTAGGTTCTCAATTTTAACTTAAAATCTTTCATTAAATGTAACCACTTTAAACTAAATTATACAGAAGTGATGTATTTCTTCTTCTGTATGGAGGACCAGAAGAGTCATGCTCATTGAAAAAAAGAAGCCTAAATATTGAATTGTACGATAAACTATGTATTTGCTCATTAATTTACAAATTCATTTTTATTCATTTTATTTCCTTAAATAATTTAATTTAAAATAAAAACACTATTTATCATTCAAATTTTTTAAAATGAATTATTAATCCATTAATAAATACTTTAAATCCAAAATGAATTTCATTTAAAAAAAAATTAATTCTCAGTGAAAACAGATTTTCAAAAGGCAATTTTGAGTTCTAAATAAAAAAACCTGATTTTTAAATATATGAAAAAATAAATAAATAATTGGATAAAGGAATCAAAGATTTATTTTTGACATTTAAAATGGTGATTCCACTCCTCATCTGAAAATCCATTTCCGCACTGCATTTCCCGTTCCTCTTGGCTCATGAATTAGCTATTATGGAAACAGATTTGGGATTAACTACTGGATTAGCGCAGTCATTTGGGTTCTAGGGGCTGTCCTACGCTTTTGGTACAGTAAATTGTTATTAATTAATTTATGAATGTAACACACATGATTAGCATTCTGAAATGATAAGAACACTGGTGGGATTGTTTCCTCAAATCAAAAACAACAATATTAAACATAAATGTGGACCTCTGGCATCTCCTGAGTTTAGACAGATGGAAATCCAGTTTCATACCTTTAAGTGGTTTTCCTGAGACTTTTCTGATGTATTCAGCACTCTGATACAGTCTTAAAATTGAAACAAATAAACAAACAAACAAACAAACAAACAAACAAAAACAAAACAGTATTATCTATGAGTGAAGAACCAATCAATTCATATCATACACATACTGGTGTCAAATGTTTGGCCAATGTGTCCAAATAACAGCCAAAGAGTATAAGCATACCTTATGACTTTGCAATGTGTGAAAATAGAGGAATTTTGGAATGTTTTACTGTATTTTCAAAAGAGAGCAGTGTGTTACAAGTCATTAAGTCATCAGAGTGCTTATTTAAATTTTTCCAAGCCACAGAGCTGAATTATCTTCAGTTTTATAGCCTTCTCATGGCCTCTTGGGCTTCATTTTTTCCATGTGTGCGAGTAGACTGACTAGATGTGGAAAAACTTAGATATATGGAATTTAGGACATATTTTTCTTACAACAAGCTGTATATCATCTGTCTTGTAAATCCACCGTTCATTCAATCTGAAAGCAGAATGAAATCCAGCCTTTTGGAGGGGTTTTTTGCAGATTTTTATGCAACAGTTTCACTTTTTTGGTCCACTTGAGGTCAAATTGGGCTGTGTGCACTCCATTAATTAAAAGGAATTTGACATGCATGCATTAGACACTTCACGGTCAGTTTAAAAAGAAAGAATCAACTCTTAATCAACAAAATAATTTTATGAGGTAGCTCAAAGTAGAAAAGGAGGCAGAAATATCACTGAGAGTCTCTTCAAGGCAGCAGAACTAAAATGAACCCTGTTCTCATTTAAAAACAATATAAGAAAAAATCAGTCACATCATTGTCAGTTCAGGGTACAGGCTGACATCAAACCCAGCCATTGTTCAGGAAAACAGACTCCTGAACAATGTAAACATGATCTGCTTGGATAAAATTATCTGGTACTGGAATGGGTACAGGCGAAGGGAGATTCCAAACACAATTTTATTTTTCTAAAGTCATATTTAGGAGTGAATCACTTTATGTGAAATCATTTTGTCTGGAAAAGGAACCTTACCCCCCTATTACACACACACACACACACACACACACACACACACACACACACACACACACACACACACACACAGACATATTATCTAGAATCAAAAATATAAACAACACATCCAATAAGTTATTCTCAATGGCAAGGACCCAGTCAGTAAAAATTAAACACTTCCACTCTTCATCTTAAGTTCAGTAGTTTCCCTAAACCCTGTCCTTTTAAGTGCACACAAACAAACACTCTACATTAACCTGAATCTAACTGACATGTTTATATTCTAAATCAGACTGCAGAAGAATCACAGCTTTTGTAAATGCTCATAAAACCTGAAGAAACATAACATTCCAGCTTCATGTATCTTCTGTCTGAAAGTGTCACCCTGTAGTCACATAGTGCAAAGACCAGAGCTGCATAGGAAGACACATGTAGGCCAACACTAGAAACAGTAAGAAACAGGGAAAAAAGTATGTTCAAAGTGTACCAGATAGCACTATATTCTCATCATTAGGCTTCCTGTGTTACCAACATAGCTCAGAACCCACATCATCATCTTCACAGTTTTGTATATATCTCCCCGAGATCATTTACATTTGCAGCATTCATGAAGGCTTTTAGGTGAGTTTTAGTGACATAGTAAAAGCAAATTTTATGGGATTGACTTTTTTAAATATAGAAAGTTAAATGCTATAACAGAATGACTAAAATAGATTTTTTTTCCCCTAAAACAATATTAAACTATTAAAAGAACTGTACGCCCCCCCATCAGACTGAAAGATTGATCATATAAAGATGCCATCGTCATTATCATCATCTACATGAATGAGTTTCACTAAAAGACCCAACAATAACTGCTCCCCTCATCCAGTTTGTATCAAAATCTATAATCAGATATTTTTATGCATTTTCTGTTATCTCCATGGCATAAGTGCCATTAGTTTGTCAAATCAGTGCACTTACTGTATGTAACTGTCAATTATGTCACTAATATACATTTTTTTCTTTCCCTAAAATGCACTGAGAACTTATTTTCTCCATGTTCATGTACATGAGGCATAAAAGTCCATCTGAATGGGTGGTCGGCCATTATAGAATTCTGGGACTTAGAAAATCTGTTCAACAGGCAGTCTTTTAAGAATGGGTTGATGGGTGTATCACAGTGGTACAAAGCCAGATTACGTCTCCGAGCTCGGGGACGCGCCTGGAGACGTAGACGCGGAAGAGCGGTCAGTGTCTTCCAGCTCCTTGTTCAAGCTGCTGCCGGTACCGGAAGAGGAGGAGAATGGCCGCGCAGACGCGGTGGCGCCTTCTCGCTCGCGCTTCTTCTGCTTCATGCGTCTGTTCTGGAACCAAATCTTCACCTGCGTCTCGTTGAGCTCGAGCGTGGCGGCGATCTCCACGCGCCGCGCTCGCGTCAGGTACTTGCTAAAGTGGAACTCCTTCTCCAGCTCCGTCAGCTGCCTCGTGCTGAAGTTGGTGCGCATGGCGTTGTTGTGGGCAAGACCGTAGTCGGCCACTTTGACTGCGAGAGAGATGGACAAGCTGTTAGACGAATGTTTTATGTTTTACTTGTACGTGTAATGAGAAAAACGCTCGTTGTTACTGGAGCTAGATGTGTTCGCTATTAATTAGAAAATAGAGATATATTTAGCTTTAGTCAGAGTTTGGTTTGTGGTTTGATATCCATAATTTATTAAATTACATCAAAATAAATACAAAGTGCATCACAAAGATGAGGTTTAAAAAACACAAGCAGTGAAGGACATCAGTGGACCTAAGGAGGGATGGAGAAACAGCACGGGGGTGTCGGTGTTGGTGGTGGAGCTGGTTAATGGAGGGGCTGCTTTTAAAGATAACAAAGCAGGAAAGACTTCCAACGGAGAAATAACCTGTCTGCTGTAATCATTAAGACACACACACACACACACACAGAGAGAGAGAGAGAGAGAGAGCTCACACTCCTGGGCTCAGCTGACCCAGACCAAAGTATCTACAGATACGACTGCATAGTGAAGTCCGAAAACGACTCTGATTTGTACTTTTAGTGCCATTCAATTAACTGTGTCACAGTAATAAAGTCCAAAGCGTTCCTAAATGCAACAAAGCACTCTGTTAATAAAAATACAGTGTATTCATATATCAGTTTTTCAACATCTGTTCTACCAGTTATTTAAAGTGAAATTATTTAAAGGCCTAATTTATCTGTGACCATTAGTCGTGCTGGATGGTATTAACCAGCAATCTTTTTTTTTTATATGGGAACTTCTGTCTTCTTTTTAAGTGCTCGCAATAACGAATTGCTGTAATTCATTATGGGCCTTATTTATGTTGGAAAACCACAACTGTTGTTTTTTTCTTTCTCTCTTTCCTCTTCTTTGACGATTTGAGTAATTAAGATAAGTAAAAAAATAAAAATAAAAAAAAATAAAATCCTGCCATCCGCACAAAGAAAGTAGTAGTAAAAATATGATGTATTTTCTCTGAAAGGATAAAATAATGTTGTAAAAATCATTTCGCTCAAACAATGTTGTTCTCTGTACCATAAAGTTCTGATCTACAAATTATGCTCCTGACTGCATTCAAGCTACATTCACTCCTCATTGACCGTCTTAAAACGAATTCCCCCACTCTGTTTGTTTATTCATGCATTTATTTGTGACTGCATTTCATATGAAAAACATGCTATAGTATTATACGAAACTTTTGACGGACTGCAGACTTAATCTCACGATAAGGTTTTATTAAGACGTTAAACGGATAAGTGAACCCTCTCTCACCTGTCTTCGGTGGATTTCTCTTCACCTTCATCCAGTCGAAGGTCTGCCCCTGCCCGGCCTGCTGGACCTCATCGTCCCCTCTTTCACGATCCTGAGATACCGGCAGCTCCCCGTAGCCTTCCCCAGGCGAAAGCTCCAGGTAGCCTCCTGCGTCAAGAACCCCCCCACCGATCTGCTGCGGGTACTGTGACCCAGCAAGGGTGCGCTGAGGCCCGCAGTAGACCCCGGTAAGAGAGCTGTAACTGGGGCCGACAGTTGAGGCCGAGTTGTGGAAGCTTGATTGATGACAGTAGGTGGAGGCCAAAGAATCCTCCATGAAATACTGCGGATGGACGGAGTTTGGTGCGCCTGTGGCAGCAACATACTCCGAGTTTGTGGTGCATGCCTGGCCCACATAGGCCCCCGTGTTGCAGCCGTTACTATAAGGAGAAGGTATTACACTCTGCAGGCTTTGGCTCTGGTGAAGCTGAGGGTGATGTGTTGGATGTTGGTAGCCGCTGTGCGTATGCTGTTCGTGATGTTGAGGAGGATGTTGCTGATGATGCTGACTTACTCCTCCGCTGGCGGTGTCCGCCCCAACGCCCACGTACATCCCTCCATCCGCGGTATAACTCGCTCCTACGTCTCTGTTATCATTTCTGGACCCGGGGACAGGAGAACCGCTGAGGCCTGTTTGGATGCTCACGGGGAATCCCTGACGCTGATCCAGGGGAAGGTGATGGTGCAGGTGATGATGGTGGTATCCAGATTTAGGCGCAGAATAAATGCCAGTTGGTTGTCGGTTACAAATAGAGTATTCCACAAAGGAGTTCATGTTGTCCATGCAGACTCGAAGCACCAGGGAATTGGTAAAATGTCTCGACTTGTTATCAGCAAGAAACACGACCGAGGTTAATAGAAATTCGTTGAAAAGCAAAAATCAAATAACTAAAAAATCCATTTGAAAGTTGTTCCTATAGTCGGCAGTATGATATAGAATCTCCCTGTTGTGTGCAAAAAGCAGTACAAAAATCGTGTTGGTTTTTTAATTGAAAAACCCTTAAAGTAATAAAAAAAAGTCGCGACAAAATTACATTACAAGTAAAAAACTGTAGACATTTCCAATGTGAATGAAAAAATGCGAAGGCTTTACTTCTCCAAACCAGAAACACATGTGGTCTGCTGCAGTTTGTGTGTGTTTTAAAGGCCCTACTCTATCAGTAACTCAACCTGTGTTTCAAAGGCTCGCCAGTGACAGTGGAAAACAACGGGAGAGGACTGAAAAGAATACAGTCACATTTTCAGCTTCACACAGGTTACACCCAGTCTTCCTAAAGTCTGTCTTTTTTTCTTCAAATTCTTCAATTTTCTCTGGCTCTTGCTCTTCAATTGTCTCCCTCTCTCCGTTTTACCGTGTCACTCCTTTTCTTACCTCCATGGCAGGTCACGTGGCTCGTCGCCTATGGTGACCGGAGGCCAGAAGTTTGTTAGCTGGTCACGGGAGCGAGGGAAGTCGTGTGTGTGTGTGTGTGTGTGTACGGGAGGAGGGGAGAGGCTCTTTCTTTCGGTTCTGGAGTCGAGTTTGCACGCACGCGCGTTGAGTTGGCCCATTTGCCTCATCCATCACTCGCGGTGACATTAGCACGACAAAGAGACTTCAATCAAACCGGCCCATCAATCTGATATCAGCACGGATCTGTCAGAGCAAAGAGAGAGGCAGAGAATAAAAGAGGACCTGTGAGCCGGCCTGCAGCTTCCAGACCTCCTTCCTGCAAAAAGCTCAAAGAAAGAAGACTGAAACTAAACAAACTAAATACAGTACACTGGTACCATGCTACTATCCCTTTATTAAATATTAATACAACAAGTAATACTGGTTCTACATCTACTACACAATAAAAAAAAATCAAATTTATTATAGTTTTGTCCATGCTCAGCTAGTATAACATTGCACTCCAGTATAAATTGTAATTCAGAAACACAGAACAACACCACATCAAAGTCAGTGATAATTCACAGTCCACTGTTGAGCCTTTGGGTATATCCAAACCTACTGTATATGTGGACGGAAAAAAAGACAGTGATATAGCTCCCTTTTTTGGAAGCAGGCATTACAATAACACTGAGCATGTAACAATAAAACCAATAGACAAAGAGAGTGCTAAAACAGGAAATGTGTTTGGTAAGTGATGTAACTGTTTGTTCTCATTTAAATTTCCTCAAAATAAACCTTGTTCATGTTATTGTGCTTATTTGTAGCAAGTAATATAGGGTCCATATTGAAAGAACTTAGAATTATCTTTTAACATAGCTCCTTAGTGTTTGAAGGCTTCCTAAACCCTGCGCCACCTCAGCTGCTCTGTAAAAAACCCCTCAGGTGACACAAATTACAATCATCTATTTCAAAATTAGATTTCAGCATTGAAGACTCTAGTTCTGACTTACTGCATACTCTACTTAGATAGCTCTCTTTCCCTCACCACATGGCGTATATGCAATACTGTAAAGGGAGACTCTTTAAATGTGAGGAAAGGCATCTATGGAAAGTGTTTCAACCTGATTTTCCACAAATTGACAGAAGTTCATGTGTGAAAACAACTTTACATTAAGAAACAGTAATTGACTTCATTTATCCTTGGCATGTTAATAACAATTCTGTCACTTGTGTTGATGAGGAGTGGATAGGTGTCAGGTAAAACACATCTTAAGTTTGAGATGAAGAACTGAAGCAACTACCAATGCCAGCAAAAAACTGTTCATTGACATAGTAAATATATATGTCTTTTCTGTATTTTCTTGTCCCTCAACCCCCAACTGTCCATAACAGATGGCTGCTCCTCTCTGAATCTGGTGCTACCAGGTTATAAGGGAGTTCTTCTTCCCCACCTCTGCACGTGTTTGCTTAAAGGAATACAATATTTGGTTTTCCAAAATATTGCATTGTCTTATCTTACAGCATACCGATAATGGGATGACTGTTGTTGTGAACAGGTCTACAAAAAATACTTGAAAAAAATGAATTAGGTTACCTATGCAGTGTCTACTAGAGATCAACTATTAGCTACAATGCAATATGTGATGAGCAAATTACTGGATAAGGCGTGACACTGTGCTGAGCACCAGCTGTTCAGCTCTGACATTTATCTGTATGTGGATGGTGTACTGACTCGTTGTCTTCCTGTAACAGCCACTTATGCACTTACAGAATGCGTATTTATGAGCCAACTAATACACACATACATATATCACATAAAATATAACTTAAACACTAGGAACACGTTTAGCCATTTTGGGGTAAAGTTAGCTGTTTTTTATAACAAACATTTCTCTCGACAGGACAGAAAAAATCTTTCTATGGATTAAAGGGCTCCTATTGATCAGAAAGCTCAATTGCAAGGGACTTATGGGAGTCAGTTTACTTTTCAACAATTGCATTGGGAAGCCATAGATTTCCGATGAGTGAATGTGCATGTGCAGGTGCCCGTGTGAGAGTGTGTGCTAATTGAATGAATGAACTGATCTGTTACACAAATGAGGTTAAAGTAGACAGGAGGCATTTTAGTGGGCCAAATCCTGCTGGTCCAGCAGAGCAGGAAGCAAGGATGACAACACAATGTACTTTCTGTGTGTGCGTGTGTGTACATGTGTATATATCAACGGCCTACAACTGTGCAATCGTTGAGGTTTTTTGGAAGAAGTCTTTTCAGTGGAAATGTTTCAGAATAGGACTTTTAATTCATTTTAGTCTTTCTATGTTTTTGTTATATGCTTTCAAGGAGAAAAGGGAACAACATCTCTTCATTTCTTACATTCATATGTATTAAACATTTGTTCCTCAAGTGTGTACTTCACAGCCTGGACACATTCTCATTGGTCATTAGCCTCCATTATAACTGCCTCCAATGAACCCATCATCAATTTTTCCCCTCCAGAGCCTGTGTGAAGTGCCTGACAGCAGGCGTACTGCAGCCGTGCCGCTATGACGAAATCAGAACGAGCGGCGTGGGCGAGCGACAAGGAGGGAGGTTAATCATCAGTGAGGGGCTGAAAGGAAAGAGAGGCAGAATGAGTGGGCAGGATGTCTGCAGGAATAGACCAGGACAAGAAAAAGATTAAATGACGCCTACACTGCTGCCTGGGTGGTGGAGAGCCTAAAGGAAAGAAAAAGAGAGAGAGCGGGGTCAACTGGTCAAACTCGACTGTGTCCCCATGTTTAGTTTTTTACATCGATGTAATTCTGTAATGTTAGTTTTTTGTTAACACATGATAATGCCACATGATCTAGTAAGCAGGTGTAAATGTGGTGTAAATGTGCAAACTAAGTAAAAAGTACTACTATTTTTGAATAAACACAGAAAATTAAAACACGAGGAAAGTGAAGCCACAGCATAGGCTCTTTTTTATTTAGCTTCAACTAAACCACCACTTACCATTCCACCAAATTATAGTAAAAATTGGCTAATATAATTCATTCACTAAGGCAGTTGTGATCAACCTGTATTTCTTTCTTACTCCTCATTGCTCACCACCCACATAAGACACAACATGGGTCACATATGGGTCAGGTGCAACATGTGTTGGGCAGCGAAGCAGTGAAGGCCTGGCAATCCAATCTCTGGCTGTTGAGGCTGACTCTTGGGACATAGAACGTCACCTCTCTGGTGGGGATGGAGCTTGAGCAAGAGGATGAGTTTGAGATATATCATCAGATGTATAGATATAGATATAATCCGTGCTTCCATGCTGAGTAGCAGTGTAGAAGCACTGTTACTCAGCTTGATACACTCAGCCTTCACAGAGCTGCTGGGTGTATCAAGCAGAGGCTAAACCTATGCTTGAAGCCACTGAGGTGTTCGATGGTGGGGGTGACGCGATGCCACTGTTATGAATGAAACTTGCCACACTCCAATAACTCCAGCCATACTTATCTTGTCAATTTAACATCTTTATTGTATTCCATTGGTTGTATTTGTTGTTCAACAGTTCTTTTTATCCAGTTTCATTTATCATAAATGACAACAGCGCAGTGGTAACAGACTGTTTGCTCTTTCTGACCAATAACACCTGACACTAATTATGTGTGTCTACCTTAACCTCCTAAGACCCGAACTCTTCCACTGCATGCATTTTTCATTTCTCTTTGATATTTGGACATATTGGGGCCCGATGAATGTAAAAACAAAGAATTACCAGATTTTTTTTTTTGCCTTATTTTTGTTTTTAAGAAAAATGAGCCACATATGAGGATATTCATTTAAAATTTTGATAGAACAGTAGCACTATAATGTCCTCGTCAGTGGATATCAGGCCCTTGTAGAGCAAAATTCAGTATTTTGGTCTAAATAACCCAAAATGTGATGTCCACATATGTGGACGCCAGGTCCTAGGAGGTTAAATACAGTCTCATAAACACACCATACAGTAAAACACAAAAACTGACCTCTAGTGGCACACATTAGGTAACAAAACAAAAAATGACTCCTACAGTGCCCCTCCTGGACACTCCAGTTCTTCTTCACTCATGTAAATGGCCTGTACTTGTATAGCACTTTACTTAGTCCCTAAGGACCCCAAAGCACTTAACACTACATTCAGTCATTCACCCATTGGCGATGGCAAGCTACATTGTAGCCACAGCTGCTAGCCACCACCAGTAGGCAACGGGTGGAGTGTCTTGCCCAAGGACACAACAACTGAGACTG